GGAATTTTTAGACTTATCTATTGTACTTATCTATAATCTTATCTATAATAGTTATCTATAATAGTAACTTATCTATAATAGTAACAGCGTATTACAGAGAGTTAAGCAAGGAAGACAGAATATCAATTTAGGCGCGAATCACGAAATTGACCTGATAAAGAATATTCATAAAATGAAATATGAATTATATGCCGGGATAATTCTATTATATTAGATCCGTTTCTCATTAATTATTAGACTCTAGAACAAGTAGCAGTCTATATGCAATATCCAAATTATATTTCAATAGATCCTACTGGATCCTTAATAAAAAAAATTAAAATTGCCAAATGGAGAACTGTTAATCCATATATACCTATATCGAACTATTTGCGAAACTCCAACCGCAAAGATGTCGGTGTTTCAAATGTTCACTGTTGTACAACTTAAGAAAGCAATTCTTTATTATATTATTTGAAATACACTGAATCGGCAGTTGGCGCAGGACAAATTTTATATCCGCAGTAGATACTATGTGACAGAGTATTAACGAATGCTATTGTATGAGCATTTAGCAATTGTAATGATCTAAAAGAATATTTATTGATATATTTCTTATTGCAAATAAGAATGAAAAAATTCTAATATATTTTTTGTGATTATATTCTCTAAAATATTTGTTTATATGCTCTAGAATATTGTGCTTATATACTCTAGAATATTATACTCTAGAACTATAATTTATAAGCTTAAAACAATTCAGAACAGAAAAGGCTCGGTTGGAACAAGAAAGAAAACATGTGTTTACTTTTGACGTCAGGTGCTGGAAAATCGATTTTTTTCCGAATTTTGGGAGAACGGATGGTAGTACGAGATTCATACTTTAAAACTATAATTTTTAAGCCTAGAAAAACTCAAAAGGGCTTGATTGGAACAAGAAAGATAGTATAAGTTTACTGTTGGTCCGGTAGACTGTCAAAAAACTGTTTTTTCACTTTTCGGACTTATAGTTCAACTTATGGATTTGTCCTTTTGGAACAATGTTTGGAACAACTAGAACAATCTATAGCGGTATCGAAATGTTCGATTTTCGAAAAAATTGGTGCTAGCTCAAAAAATCATTTTTTTTGTTTTATTTGAAAACCGTTTGGAATGAAGCAATATCACTTTGGAACAATGTAATACAAAGTCACAACAATTTGGAACAATTTTCAAAATTATAAATTTCGAAAAACAGGGTGCCAAGTTCATACACCCCAAAACATGCTCGGACGCGCGTTAACGCAGTTCAAAGTTCGAAGCGAGAAGGAGAGAGGAGCGAAGATCATTCTCTTTCTCGCTGGGCGAGGCTGGGTGAAGGCGACGCGTCTTCACATCGATAGACGGAACAATAGCGTTGTGTGCGAAGAAGGCACATGGAGGGGACACTTCTCCTCGCACGCTACAGTGTGCTCGGGTACATTTCAGCAGCACTGGTTTCAAAAGAAAATGTTTGGACGAGTATACTCGTCATCGCGCACACGGGAACAACTCCGTTTGGACAAGTATACTCAGGAAAATGCACAGGGGGTTAAGGGCTACACCTACTTTCCCTCCTCCTACTTATCTGACGAATCAAACAATGATATTCGTAGCGTTCTGCTTCAGGAGTGTCAACTTCATGGTTCCCTACGCATATCTCCTATTGCATATGTCTCTATATATTATTAATATATCGTCGCATAAATAAAAAAACAAGTTAATAATGGTACCTCATAACTAACAAAAAACTTATTGTCAATACCTATAATAATACAAATGTTAATATATAAAACTAATATAATATATAAACGCAATAATATATAACACGCATAAAAGATTAATTTCAATAGAATATTTTGAGCAATTAAAAAGTGCTTTCGTAGAATCAATGATATTAATACTTCTGAAATTGAGCGTCATATCGAAGAGTGAAAGTAAAAAGGAAATAAGAAAATCACTACAAAAGTGATAACAATTCTGAGCATTAAATAATTTTCATCTTTAGTTTTTTCTGTAGTTTCATTTTCATTTTTAGTTTTTATACTTTTTACGAATATAGATATTTTATTGTAAGCCCAAGGTCGCCAAGATATAAAGTGAAAAGATTATTAACCCTTTAACTGCTACGGTCCAGATAACTCGAGTGTGGAAAAAAATGGCGGCCTTGCTACGATCGAGTTTACTCGATTTGGACTTTCAATATGTAACACCCATTTAATTTAGTTTGTAAAAAGCATTTGAATTGAGCGGGCATATAGTGCCATCTCTTATCATTATAAAATATTTTATAATTGTAAAAATAACTCAGCAAAGAGGGTCATACTGGTCATTTAATATCTCAGCAGTTAAAGGGTTAAGACACACACACATACACACACACACTTTTTTTCATTCTTATTCTTACTTTTGTTTCTTCACTTTCGTGCATTAATGCATCAACTTTTTAAATTAATATTTTAATAAGTGTCGTACTTGTTCATAAACTGATAAAGGAATCTTCTATTTAATTCGATAAATTCTACCTGCATATGAGCAAATGTACAGATTATATCAAATATCCTGTACAGTTATTTAATAACCACATCTCATATAAAGAATATAATATTTAATTTTTTTTTAAAGATAAATGTAGCAAAAATACTTTTCTGTTGCAGTCTCTTTTCCGACAAGTCTAGCAAATTAATAATCATGGCGTTCATTTCAGGAATGTAAATATCGTAGGTTCTGCAAATGTATCGGAGGTGCTTTTTAATTACTCAGAATATCTTACTAAACTAATCCTTTATGCATATTAGTTTTATACATCACCAACCATTTATATTGTTATAGATACAACGTAAAAATAAATTTCCTTACCCTACTGATTAGGTATTACTTCCAATTTGTTTTTTTATTTATATGACTGCATATACAGGGTGCACGATTTATCTGAAGACATTGAAATATCTCGAGAACTATGCATTGGATAAAAAAAAGTGGTTAATAAAAGTTGTTAGTCTCGAAGGGGGACATCCAATGATACTAAACTCGACCTCCCACCCCACCCCCTGGAGGTGGGGGTTGGGGGCAACTTTGAAATCTTAAATGGAAACCCCCATTTTTTATGGCAGATACGGATTCTACGCCACAAAATATGTAAATTTTGTCCGAAACTTTTTTTTTGATTCGTGATAGATGGCGCTGTAATCGCAAAAAATTATATTTTCCGTAATTCTCCAGAAATGATCATTGGATTGAGAAATAAAAAATACCTGTTCAATATTTTTAAAGAACATAATAAAAGTTATTCCCCCCCCATCCTCTCGCGGTAGGGTGGGTGATAACGTTCAAATCTCAAATAGGGACCCACATTTTTCATTGCAGAATTAGATTGTACGTGAAATTTTTATTGAAACAATTTTTTTCATTGAAACAATTTTTTATAATAAGCCATAGTTCGCCATACACCCACAGTGGCGCGTCGAGTTCCCTCTTCAATTCGGGTTCCCATTTCAGATTTGAACGTTACCACCCCTTACCCCGAGAGGATGGGGGGGGGAATAACTTTTATTATGTTCTTTAAAAATATTGAACAGGTATTTTTTATTTCTCAATCCACTGATCATTTCTGGAGAATTGCGGAAAATATAATTTTTTGCGATTATAGCGCCAGCTATCGCGAATCAAAAAAAAAGTTTCGGACAAAATTTACGTGTTTTGTGACGTAGAATCCGTATCTGCAATAAAAAATGGGGGTTTCTATTTAAGATTTCAAAGTTGCCCCCAACCCCTACCCCCAGGGGTGAGAGGTCGAATTTGGTATCATTGGATGTCCCCCTTCGAGACTAACAACTTTCATTAACCACTTTTTTTTATCCAATGCATAGTTCTCGAGATATTTCAATGTCTTCAGATAAATCGTGCACCCTGTATATTAATAATATACAGAATAGGCGCGCGCACACACAAAATAAAATATTTAACTAATTTTAAATATTTTGTAATATTATAAGATATTTTATTAATTTTTAAGTATTAATTATTAATTATTATTAATTTTTTTAAGTAATTAAACTTGTTAAATTCACAAAAATTTTATTAAATGAAATGTTATATTTCTCTATTTATTTTCTAATAAAACATTTTAAAAGGTGTATAATAATATATATCATTAAAGGTCCCAGGTCAGTTGCAAAAAAGTTTGTTTAAAAAAGAAAAAAAATCGATAGTCACATTTTATGCACTTATTGAAACTTTACAACTTTTGTATCTAAAATCTTTCCTCAAATAACTTGTCTTTGAAATATGTTACTGGTTTGATACTTTTGCTTCACTTTTATGTTTTTAAAATATGGAAGTATTCATTTGCAAACTGTAAAAAGCAAGAAAATATTCAATTTTAACATGGATTTATAAAGCATCAAGGTGCACCATATAAGGGCACCGAATTAATTTGCACGTTTAATATATAGAAATTGTTGAAGTTATTATTTTCTTATTTAATATTTTCTAATTAAATTACGTAAGTGCAAAAAGCACTTATTTTATCAAATTGAATAAAGTCCTTTATTATTTTATAAATATAGTCATGATATTATAAATCTAGTCATGATATAGTCATCATAATTATATGATTATGATATCAAGATAAAAAATGATTTTGAGTGCATGTGATGCAGTGAGACCAGTAAAATGAGTGTAAAATGTTTCTATAAAATGAGACATGCCTTGAGCTTATTTTTTGATCTAATAATGGTAAATATAGACATGCACTTCATAATCACATGTTCATTCATATGTTGCTGGATTGTGCCGCTCGCTATATTCGCAACGTTATTCTGCTCTTCTCTTTGTCAAATAAGGGAAGTAAAGGACTTTTTTTTATTCAGTTTGACAAGCGCTATTTGCACATATATACAGGTATATGTCAAATATCCTGTACAATTATTTAATAGCCACACCTCATATAAAAAAGTTTTTTGTTTTTAAAAAATAAATATAGCAAAATGCTGAATCCATACCTGTAAAAATGATATATCCAGCAACACCGCCGCAGTTTTACGATATATTTTGCTTTCCAAATTTGCTGCTGCTAGAAGAGTCTCGACACATGTTATTGGTGTATTCAATGGCATTTTAAAATCTACTGTTCTGAACACATCATATTCAGCAGCGATTATTGCATCGTATGTATATGTTTCTTCATGATCCACATTTAAGAGATTAAGAATCTATGAAAACAAATGATATTCAATACAATAAAATTTTAGTCAATAAATGTTTTGCTATATAAAATTTAGTCTTTAGAGACTAGAATTTAATTTTTCAAAATATATTAACATACCTCAGATATTTCTATTATAGCACAAGCTTTATCCATTTTTAAAGCCAATTGAAAACATGACAATAAATGTAATTTTGTTTTATTTATAATTTCATTGTAAATATTATCCCACTGCTCTTCTAGTGGGCCATTTACGAGCCGAGTCTTACACAGTTTTATGAAATATTTATGCAAAAACTCGTCATATAACATGATAGCCATATATTTGGTGTGTTTTCTTACTTTTTGCGGTTTCAAATGTTCTTTCAAATGTTCATATACTTTAAAAGCTGCTTTAACAATAGGTGCTTGGATTGCTGAAAACAATTTGAAATAATTATTATTACATTATATTAATTTGAAATAATTATTGTTATATAATTGCTATTTAAGTATTATGCAAAATGTGTTTAATTAACATTATGTTGTTTGATTCATTCTATTGTTAATATATAATATATTAATATTTGACTTACTTTTAAATCGTAAGATGACATTATTGGTCTCATCATTGATTGATTGTACATGTTCATATAAAATTTCGTGGGAATTATTTATCCAGTCATTAACAAACAGATCTGTATTAATCAATATTAGCATTATTACAATAAAATTTAAAGAATCATCGAAATAATTTTCAACTTAAAAGGAATATTCTTCTTTCAAACTTATATAAGTGATATTATTGTAATTATGTAATACTGTATTACTATAATTAATACTAATTTCCTTTAAAAATAAATATCAAATATTTTTTAATAATTTTATTTTATTTTATTATATTTATATTATTTTTTAATAATTAATTTTTTACGATATAAGAGGAACATATTTATAAAATTTATAAAACTATTGGTACGTGCACACACAACACAGAGAAATATATTGAGTCAGTTAAAAGGATCAATTCATTTTTGTCTTTGACTTAAACTGATTTTTTATGATATTTAAATTAGTCTCCTGCAATAGTATATGATTATTACTCGTATATTGGGATCATAAACAACAACGATTTGTATCTATTTAAATAGATCGTTCCTCTTGTATCGTAAAAAAATTAATTATAAAAAATATTTGATATTTATTTTTAGAGGAAATTAGTATTAATTATAATAGTATAGTATTACTAATTACAATAATATTACTTATATAAGTTTGAAAGAATAATATTCCTCTTAAGTAATATCCACTGAATGTAGTAAAATTAAGCGATAAATTTTAGTAAAATTTGGCTTGAAAATCAAACAGGGCTTTCTGTATATATGTATAGGGTGTCTAGGATCTTTTGAAAACAAAAAATTGTGAAGATTAATCAGATTAATCAGATTAAACTGAGGAGAAATATATATATTAAAGTATATTATATACAAAAAATATCTATCATTATTATCTATTAGTTTCGGTTACTGTTTAGTTAGTTATTTAATTCTTGTCTATGATTCAGTAAATTTTTGTAAATCATGTAACATATACTGTACTACAGTATTATCTTATTTAATTATTTTCACATTTATACATATATATATATATATATGTCTTATGTAAAAGTATTATTAAATTATATATGATGTATAAATGTGGAAATAATTAAATAAGATAATACTGTATATGTTACACGATTTACAAAAATTTACTGAATCATAGACAAGAATTAAATAATTAACTAAAAAGTAACCGAAATTAATAGATAACAATAGATATTTTTAATATATAATATACTATTTTATTATTAGTAAAAAAATATAGATAAAAATTCGATAAACTTTAGTAACTGTCTAATTATTTTAGTTTATGTTCTATAAATATATAACACAAACTGTCTAATATAAAAATAATTTCAAAAATATTACCAGCACATTTTGAATTCAAAGCTGCATCCATTTTTTAATTTATAATACAGGATCAAATGAGATGATGAATCAATTGTTTGAATTGCTTTTGAGGTTGATTTTGGGCCACAAACTCAAAAATTCGTGTGCATGTCCTCTTGGTAAAACTACTACATATATGCACTGAAACAAAAAAATGAATAAAAAGAATTAGGTGTCAGAGTTGCATAATTTTATTGTACAAATTATAATAGAGAAAAACTTAATAAAAATTGATAGAGGTAGATCAATATAAAAGAAATTGGTAATTATACAGAATACCCCCCTCAACTCCGATATCGATGAAAAAAGATTTAATCGACGCGTTTTTGCAAGAGAAACAACTTTTCTATTTGAAAAAATCGTCACTCTGCCTTGTGGAGCGAGATATAAATTGTTAAATTTGACAATAATTTAGGTTAGGAAATCTGTCACGGAGGCGATAGATAAGCAAGATTCCGGATGGGTTTGCAACTTTCCAGTTTTCCACGCGCAACGAAACGGGGCGGGTGAGGAAGAGGGGCCGAAGGCCCCCTTTGCACCCCCCGCCGTGTGTGTGTGTGTGTGTGTATGTACATGTTTGACACATTTTTATTTAACATATGAATTTGTAGCTCATGTATCAGTGGTTATTAAAAAAAAAAATAACCACTAATACATGAGCTAAAAATTTATGTGTTTAATAAATGAAAATGCTGAAACATATGTGTATACACACACACACACGGGGGGGTGCAAGGGGGGCCTTCGGCCCCCCTTCCTCATCCGCCCCGTCTCGTTGCGCGTGGAAAACTGGAAAGTTGCAAACCCATTCGGAATCTTGCTCATCTGTCGCCTCCCTGACAGTTTCCTAACCTAAATTGTTATCAAATTTAACAATTTATATCTCGCTCTACAGGGCAGAGCGACGATTTTTTCAAATAGAAAAGTTGTTTCTCTTGCAAAAACGCGTAATCGATTAAATATTTTTTCGTCGATATCGGAGTTGAGGGAGGTATTCTGTATAATTAACAAGAAATTGAAATATAAAATTTAGTCACATAGCAGATTACAAAACTGAAAAGCAATTGTATACTGAATGTCAAAAGTAAATCATACTAATGTTCATACACGTATAAAATACAAAATGTCCCAGAACAATATTCAGAGCTCGTGGAGAGATAGACCGGATTAAGACAAACATAAAAATTTCATACTGTTTTGCGATATTCACAATAATTATCGAATTATTAATTACAGAAATCTGACGAGTAGGTGTGCTCTGACATGAGTGATTGGCAGGAGGTTCAAACTAGAGATGTTTATCGATATTCGAAATTATCGAATATTCGATATTATTTTTATTTCGATATACAAATTTCGAATAGAAAAAATATGAATAAAAAATCGGATAAATATATTTTTTCAGCGAATATTTATTGAATATTTTTTTAAAAGTAATTTTTTTAATATAAAGCTAAAGTCAGTAGCACACGGTGCTTGTTTTCATACTAGTTTTAGTGACATATTAGAAATGTTACATTCTGATTGGTTGCGTTCAGCAGAACAAAGTGATCAGTGAGCACTTAGTGATTCTCGCTCCTGATTGGTAAATACTTCTGGCTCTATGAAGAACCTAAAAGAATGCTCCAGTCACAGACAATAATCACTAAGCGCTCACTGATCATTTTGTTCTGCTGAACGCAGCCAATATTACATATAACGTGCATGTTAGTAGTAATTTCCTACTCAACAATAACAGTTATATTGTTGAGTAGAAAATTACAACTAACATGTACGTTACATGTAATATTAGGCCTGTTCGTTTTGTCTGCACTGTTAAACTGGGTGCAACAAGTTGAAGTGAGAAAACCTACGTTTGTCTCACTTTAACTTAATGCATCAGTTCATCAATGCAGACAAAACGAACAGGCTTATTGTGTTTGCTGGGTTCTTATTGACTACCGAATTATTTGATATTTATTCGATATTTTGACTGCTTATTCGACATCGATATTAGTACTTTTAAATTTGGCGAATATATTCAAATGCGATATTTTTTTTCGATATCGACATCTCTAGTTCAAACTCACCTCTTGTGAGAAGAGGAACGCAGGGGGTACAAACTCCCCTCTTAGAAACCAAGCGACGGGTTTTTGAAGCACCACCATGATACGTACCGGAACTAGTGGAACTAAAATGGGTCACGTGATACAGAGTGGGGATACGCGCTATATTGGCCGTTTTCAGTAGAACAAAGTGATCAGAGAGCGCTTAGTGATTATTGTCTGTGATTGAAGCATTCGTTTAGATTCTTCATAGACCCAGAAGTATTTACTAATCAGGAGCGAGATTCAGTGGAAAATCTAGCAATGTTGTCCAACTGTTGAGTCTGCTGAATGCAGCTAATGGCTGATTGGTAAATACTTCTGGGTCTATGAAGAATCTAAACGAATGCTCCAATCACAGACGATGGCTGCGTTCAGAAAAACACAACGGTTACACAACGGTTGAGTAATTCGTCAACGTTATTAGTCTGAATGTAAGGATCTAACAGTAAGGACCAATAGTTACTAAGCGCTCAGTGAGCACTTTATTTTCTGAACGCAATCAATAATCACTAAGCGCTCTCTGATCACTTTTGTTCTATTGAACGCGGCCATTGAAATCCAGTGCACTCGTGAACTAAAAGGTATGTACACCGATTTTTTATTGGACTTCGGAACGCGCTCCAACTTGAGGAGAAAAACAACCACTGCTTCATACGTCAGCGCTGTCACTTATTACGAAAGCAGAAGGATGGCATATACGAGTGTTAAATAAGTAGTGATTGTGGCGTAGACACAAATGTCTTGGAGACTTTGAGTTATAATTGAAGAAATGAAGAAAACAAATAGTGATTGTGAAGAAAAATGGCAAAAGGCTTCATAAAATTTGTAAAACAGCATATTAAAGGAGAGTATTAAAGGAGAGATTAATTGTCTAATAATATTTTAAGTGAAAAATATTTTAAATTTGAATGTAAGTTAAAAAAGTTATAAACCATAATTTCATTAATGTTTATAATTTTATAGCTATAAATTTGCCATCGACGTTAAATGAATATGTATGTAATGCTATCATTTACATAGGTGGAAAATTATGTTATTGCGCTCATAAAAAATAAGCAGCAGACCAAGTCGAATGATATTTTTTTTAATAAGATACTCATATCACTCAACTTGGTCTGCTGCCCACACAGCACATGATATTATTCGTATATACTGCTTTCATACTAAATATACTATAGATATATCTAATATACTGAGAATGTCCTATAATATTTTTCGTAGTATATTATTTTTCGTATATTTTTAGAATATACGTAATTCATCAATAATATTCAGTTATTTATCGAATATTCTAGAAATATTCGAATATTATCAACAATATTTTAATCATTAATCGGACATATCCCTTCTACAATAAGCAATTAGTCATAAGCCGTAAGCAAATTGACCAACCACAGTCGATTATTTAAAAAATAATCAAATGTGATTGGTCAATTTGCTTACGACTTTTGACTAATTGCTTATATTGTAGAAGGTCTCTAAAGGTCATTTTTACAGTACATATCGTAAGTCGTAAGCCGTAAGAACTAACTAATTATAGCCGATTATTTTTGTAATAATCGACTGTGATTCGCCAATTTTTACGACTTACAACTTACGACACGTATTGTAGAATGACCTTAACAACACAGGTATCCAAGAAACGTTCAGAGTACGTCCTGAAGATGACCTCGGGATGTTTCTTCATCTTCAGGACGTCCCTGGGATGTTCTTAGGAGATCTCGTGCTGTCTGGAGCCACCCAATCAGAATCGGGCCTCCGCCCGATTCTGATTGGATGGCTTTTAATGCTTCTCTACTCCACTCTCCGCTTTCCGTGTCCATCTGAACGCACGTAGTCACGTCGTATACGAAGATCTTAATATAAGGTAATAATTATATAATTATTTTATTTATAAAATAACATTAACTATTATGCATTAATAAATTTGTACCTCAATAGATATTTTGTTAGATAGGCCAATTCGTTGTATAAAATTTTATATTTTTTCAACCTGTCTTTCAGGGTTATGTGGCACAAAAATAATTAACTTCAGGTTGTTACACTATTTTTCCTATTTTCTTGATAGTTATAAGTTATTCAGACTTTTTTTTTCTTGATAACGCAGGGGAAACCCGTCATGGGTACCCTCCACCCCCTGGGAGGGACGGAGGGTTATGTGAGATTCTTACTCACTAAAACCCCTGCGGGGTGTCTACCAGTCGGACCGAGATGAGGGGAGTCAGGGGAACTACGCCAGTATTCCCTCCCCGACATCCCGGCCCCAGGGCTCGTTGTCGAGCCCCACGCTCAGATGCCGCGTCCCCTTCCCCTTGAGGGGAAGGTTCGGAGCGCGGCGCCCCAGTCGGCAGAGCCGACCGGGTTGGCCTTCCGGTGATTTTTCGGGAGGGGGGACACCCACCCCACCTCCCCGCCCCCACCCCCTGGAGTTTCCACTCTGGAGGGAGCGGGGGAGCGAGGCTCTTTCCCAGAAGGCCTCACTCCCCCCTGTCCCTACCTAACCGACGCGCGAGGGAGTGCGAGAGGAGGTCATTCACCTACCTCTCCGCATCTCTTCCCCGCGCGTCCGAAGTCGACCCCGAGGCGGCCGAGGGGGGCCGCGGAGACCGGACTGCCGGTCTCCGCCGCCTCCTCCCGGCCGGCGCCACCTCGGAGTCGCTATCTCCACCCCCCAGGGAGCGCCGCCTCCGACCCCCTGCACTACGCAGTCCGGGTCAGGTCGGCGCTCCCACTCGGCGGCCTCCTTCTGGGACATTACGTCCTTGCAGAAGGAGGCCGCCGCCCCCCATACCTCCTCGCTCCCGCACATGGCTCGCACCATCCTGCATCCCACTGCCCGGGCCAGGACTCGGCGCTGCTCGCTCCACGCCTCGCACTCGGCGAGGGTGTGCCGCCGTGTCGTTCGACTCCGGGCAGTGGTGGCACTCGGTGGTGTACTCCTTACCTATCCTGTGCAGGTACCTCCCGAAACACCTGTGTCCGGTCACTACCTGCACCAGGTGGAACGAAAGTCCACGTCCCCTCCTGCCCACCATTTCTAGCAGGCAGGGGCGGACAGCCTCGGCCGTCTGGCGACCGAATCCTCGTGGGTCGGCTAATTCAGCCGACCACTTATCGAGGACCCAGTCACTGGCCTGGTTCCTTAGGGCCCTCAGGTCCCTGGCCGATAGGCCCTCCCCCCTTTGGCGGAGCTCCTTTATTCGCCAGTAAAGGAGGCTTCTCTCTTCGGCGAGGAGCTCCACCGGGGGGAGCCGGTCAGGGAGGCCGCCGCCATGTGGGAGACTGTTCGGTACCCTCGGACCGCCCTTGTGAGTACCGCCCGCGTGGCCTGCCTCAGCAGGGCCTTATTGCTGGCGGTAGCCAATAACCGGGACGCCCATATGGGCGCCCGTATAGGGCACTGAGTGCACCCCCACGTAAAGGCGGCGTGCCCGCCATCCAGGCCCCCCTGGGTCCGCATCAGGCCGGCCAGCGCCGTGCCTATCTTGCAGACCCGGGGGGCCACGCTCCTGAAATGGGGCCCAAAGTTCCACCGGCTATCCAACGTCAAGCCCAGATA